GCCTGACTCTGACCTGGGGCACATCCCTGCACTTCCCTCGGCCTGATTTATTCTTATTATAAATTAAATTCAAAAAAAGTTTAATGAGATTTGTGGTTTCCAAAATATATTTACCTTTCTTCAAAAGGAATCATTAAGCCTGAAGGCTGTTTGTTGCTATTTCTACCACCTACCATGGTGATCGGCACAACCCTGCAATCAAAAGTAATTGTTAAATTTAATTTACATGTGGCTTATTTGTTAAACAAATATCACATCTATTTTATGTAGAAGTCATTTTCCTCTTGGAAATAATACATAGTAAAGAAAAGATTTTACAGAAATTGCCATTTCACCAAAGAAACTCTGTTCTGATATGTGGTTTTTTTTTTTTTTTTCCTTCTATAAGTGGTACAACTGCTGGGAAAATCAGCTCCAAATGTATGAAAGATATTTTAAATAGCATCACAAAAATGCTGTATTGGATATCAGACTTGGCAACTGTCATTTAAAATTGTTTCTTGCACATTTATTTTTTTTAATAATTTTAAATAGCATCACAAAAATGCTGTATTGGATATCAGACTTGGCAACTGTCATTTAAAATTGTTTCTTGCACTTTTATTTTTTTTAATAATTTTTATTTCAAAATATTGGGTACAACAATCGACTTTTAATTTCAGAATATTTTAGATTTAGTATGGTAAATTTGTCTTTTATGAAAGGAAAGACAAGATTTTTATTTTTAATTTGGACAAGAAGTTTGGATTGAGTTTCTGTTTACTAATGACTACCTCACCTTGTCCGTTGGTCTTGTCATTGAGCTGTGGACATGATCATCCACTAATATTATTTTTAGGCAATTTATCATCTCAAGTTCCCCTTAAGAGACTTCTAAAAACCTGGACAAACAGATACCCGGATGCTAAAATGGACCCAATGAACATCTGGGATGACATCATCACAAATCGGTAAGATGTAGTCCTTTTGAGTCAAATGTGGATTCTCTTTTGAAATTGCTCGAATGGTTTTTCCTCTAAACCATGGTTTAGGGAAATGTGGGGTTTGAGTCCGGTGTAGCTGTCTGTCTCCCATCTTGCCTGTTTCCCAGTGAAGCTCTCCTGATGGAACTCTCCCCTCCCGCAGTGCGCCCTCTGCCCCGCGGTCTGCGGAAGAATCCTGGTGGTGGGGCACCGTGGCACTGCAGTGGCCATGCCCAGGCTTCTGGCAGTGAGGGGAGGCAAGAGAGGCAGGGCAGTGTACATCTGTTTTGCTCTCACAGCTGAAATTTAATTAGTGGAACGACAGCAAAGAAGACTACCGAGTAACGGCCTTTATTATTATATTATTAAAACTTAGATTTTTGGCTGGGCACGGTGACTCACGCCTGTAATCCTAGCACTCTGGGAGGCCGAGGCGGGTGGATTGTTTGAGCTCAGGAGTT